GAAAATCATGGCAGTCTAGACGTAGCCAGCAAGTTTGAGGGACCAAGTCGTTTCTGCTAGGTGGGGTGAAACGAATTGCACTGCTTGGGAGGTCCCCTGAGCTAGAGTTCAGATGCTGACATGTTTTCCCTCCCATTCTAGGTTTAACTGGAGCAGTCTGATCCCCCTGCAGTTGTGGGGCAGGACACTGGGCTTGCAGACAGAGGATTCTAAGTTCCTCCTTGAAGGTGTGCCCTTCCGCATCTTTGGAGGCTCCATGCACTATTTCCGAGTCCCCAGGGAATACTGGAGGGATCGCATGGTTAAGATGAAGACATGTGGTTTGAACACCCTCACTACGTAAGTGCTACCTTCACTAACACAGTCCTACAGAGCAGCTAATTAAATCGGTGGAGATTTTGCCAATACTAGAGCAAGTCCTAAAAGTGTCTTCTGTTCAAGTCATGAAAGACAGGTTGGTTCCTTTTCCTGCTCCCTGCATGTTTTCCTGCTTGAAATTGTGCCCTCTACTCTGTTTACCACCTTAGGTTCTGCCAGTCCACACATTGAACTCTAACCTCTCTAAACTTTATAGCACACCTTGAGTTGCTCAGTTAGTCCTGGCTTTCCAGGTATGTCTGAGGGAGTCTGATGTGACTGGTCACTTACCACTGACACAGTGGCAAAGTGGGTCCAGGCTCTGTTGTTGCCACTTAACGTGATAGTGGTTTAGAAATTGCTTCAGCCTCAGCAATGAAGAGATACCACGACAGCAAAGACTAAATTCCAAGATGAGTTTAAACTTGTCCCTTCAGCAACTCGCAGCAACTTAAACTCCTTTTCACTTCATTACTCGGACTCCCGCTCTCTTACTAACCTTTAACAGGCCTCCCTGCTTGCTTATACTCTGAACTTGGTCCATAGAACCTGAGGGAGTCCGAACTGGTGTAACTCACATACTGAAGGGCTGAAAGAAAAAAATGTAGGAAGAAAATAATCTAACAGGAGTGTGTATGAAGTAGAATATAAAGACAGCTCCAGCCTGCCCTAACTGCTGATTCCTCAGTGTGAAGTAACATCAATATACACCCTGTTACACATGTGCACATACAGCTGTACGTTTGCCTGAATCTATTCATGGCTAGAAGGTGGTGTGCACAAAAAGGCAGTGCATAGAGGTAGGGTAGGTAGTTCTCCCCCTGTTCCCTGGTCCTAGCCCCTTATCAGTTTGTGAATTCCCAATCCCTGTCTCTGACTCTCTTTTTCAGGTACGTGCCATGGAACCTTCACGAAGCAGCGAGGGGGAAGTTTGATTTCAGCGGAAATCTGGATTTAGAGTATGTGGTGTAATTTTGTTTTGTTTTACACTATTGTGATCACAGGTTTGAGAGTAGAGGTCAGATGTCCAGATCCGTTAGTGATAACTTTAGGATATAGGATATTAAGGAACTTGACCATTAGAGAAGTATTCACATACTAAGTGTGTGATGCATAGATGATCTTATAGGGACATGTCAAGGAATATACAGATCACTGTCCTTTTCCCTTACTTTGCCAACTAATGTCACATCATTTTGTTTATTTAGTGGCTCTTTCCTCTTAACTAGGCCTGCAAAGAAGACTCTGTTATAAAACTGTGCTTTGACAAACTGCTTTTTTTGATGCAGTTTTTTTTTTCTAAGTTTTGCTCTACAAACTGCTTTTTTTGATGCAGTTTTTTTCTAAGTTTTGCTCTAGACTCGCGTTTCTCAAACTGTGGGTCCTGACCCCCCAGGGGGTCATGAGCAACTTAGAGGGGTGGTTGCGGTATCGCAAAGTTTGAGAACCCCTACTCTAGACACTTAGAGGGGTGGTTGCGGTATCACAAAGTTTGAGAACCCCTACTCTAGACGACATCTATAACAGGATTCTGGCCACATCAGTGAGAGAAACTCTATTGGGACCCTGCTTACACAAGAATCATGTTTAGTGATAGGTTTGCTGAGCCTAGAGCTGTTTCCAACCCAGACACAATCTTGGATAACCCAGTCAGTGTAGCTTAGTGGTTTAGAACAGGGGATTGGGAGTTGGGAGAACTGTCTTGATTCTGCCACTCACTTTCTGTATGACCTTGAGCAAAAACAGTCTGTTTGGGCCTCATCTTTTTCATTAGTAAAATGGGGACAGTAGAAGTGTCAAGTAATAGCAGTGATTGTGTTGTGGGGTGACACTCCTAGTTTGGAGCAGCATTTTCCAAAGCCTTAACTATGCAAAACATCCACAAAAGTTTGTAGTTAGTCTGTGTTTGTGTTAACAAGCATGCAGGTAACCCTTAAGATGGAACCAGAGCCATTATATATCTCTGTTATTTTCCCAAAAGCTCCCCCACGCGTACACTTCCCAGAGCCCCATATGTTGTCTTAGCCAACACTGACTGAAGCATTTTTTTATTCTAAACTATCTGGAACAGATGAGATGGCAGCTTCTTATCTTGAGGGAGTCTTGAGTCTTTCAGAGTTCCACAGTAAGAAGAGTGACTGGGGTTCCTCACTCCCCATGCAAAACAACCCCCATTGATTATCTTGTTCGTATCCTTCCCCTTCTGTTCTCAGCAACAACAAAGCTCATCCACTGATTCTCAGCATCACCCCACTGACTTTCTCTTGAGAGTGGTGACTGTGATTAGTAGAAGTTGCCTGCTGGACCCATCTGTTAAGTGGTGAATCCTCTCCCTCATCTAATTGCTCCGTTCCCTCTGTGGACAGCCTTCCTTTATGGTTGGGTCAGAAACACTCTATCTATGTCTCAGAGCAAGCTATTCCACATCTTTAAAGCAGTCTGTTATTTCAAAATAATGGGCGTGCTATTCCAGCGTCCCAATAACCCTCGTTCCATGAGGGATAAGGAATGTTTCAGAATAGCGCTTTATTTCAAAATGATCTCGAAAGAAGCTACACAATTAGCAAAGTGGAAATTGCGTAGCTTGTTTTGGGGTAAAGGTACAGTGTAGACGCACACTCTGTTGTGAGGAGTCAGGCGGGGGGCAGTGCCGGGTTAAATGGAATAATTGTGTTTGCAGATTATGTGACTGCATTAAGCCTCTGGGCCCCCCACTCCTTTAGGGTGGATTTTTTTTTTTTGAGGCCTTTGAAACCCACTGATTTGGACTCACTAGACAGCACGGTCATGGGTACATTAGAAATGTACAGAAACCCAGTGGTTCTTCAGCAAGAAAATAATTACTGTTTTCGGATTTCCTAGGGCCTACCTAACCTTGGCAGCTGAAGTTGGACTATGGGTGATTCTGCGTCCAGGACCCTATATCTGCTCTGAGTGGGAGCTTGGTGGTCTTCCCAGGTAAGAGCGTACATGGTGGTTGCCATTTGGATTTGGGTTCTTTGTTTGATTCAAATACTTAGGCATTCATCTATTAACTTGAGACTGACTGTAGATACTTTGCATTTGTAAGACCATAGGAACACAAAAGCTCCCTGCATCATGCAGCTCAGTCTCCTGCAGAGAGTCAGAAATAATGTTAGAAAATGATCAGGTGTTTCAGCCTGTGTTCTCTGAGGACAGGGTCATGTCCGATGTTCCCTCTTAAGTGTTTCCATCCATGTGCGAAATACATTTTGTTCTGTGCAGCAAGGCGTGTGCAGATGTGCACCACCCATAGAAACACATGCTGCCGGCTGTGGTCAGCTGTAGGTCCTCTGCCAATCTTTCCTGGATGGTGCTCTGCTTACAGGGAACACTGGTCATGTCCTATAGCAGAAAGATTCCCACTCAGTCATTGATCCTTTCATAGCATTACAAACCATGGACCTAGAATTAGAATGCTGCTGTGAACAGTCCCTTTTTAAGGCTCTGGTATGTGCTGGTTAGAGCAGGGGATTGGCGTTCCCTGTTTCATGTTCTATCACTGATTTGCTATATGACCTAGATTTACCTTTCTTATGCTTCAGTTTCCCTGACGATAAAATACAGAGAGTGGTATTTGCAACTTGATGTAAGGGTTTATTCACCCCAGGGCTCATTTTAATAAGCCTATAGGGACTCTCGCACGATGTGGATGGGAGCAATAATGTCATGATTCCCTCAACCCTCTATTAGAAATTCTTTTAAATCTTTGTCCTCCTGAAAACCTTTTTTCATCCATAAAGCCTCCACTTACAACCAATTTACTAGATCTCTGAGGTGGTCATGGCCAGCTGCAACTGACTGGTTTATATAGTAGAGTCAGCACATTTACCAGTTCTACCGCTGCCGTTGCATAAGTAGACTCTCATGTTTAGAGCAGCCTGGTCATGGTACGAGTTGTTGAGAGCCAAATCTAACACGTAAGCCCTGAGAATCTTTCCTGGTTACCAGATCCCAATGGGACAGGTGTTAGGGTTCAGTCACACTTGTTTATCTTTCTTTGTCTTACTCACCAGAGCTTTAACCTCAGTGGAGGAGCTTGGCTCAGATGAAATGTTGGGATGCTCTCTCCCCATCTATCCTGTCGCACTTTTGCTGCAACTCACGCTCTCCCTGATCTCAGACAAAATGAGTTCAGAGTGTTTTGGCTATTTAATGCAATTAGAATAATCTTATCAGGAGATGAGTTTGATTAAGGCCCCTAGGGCATTCTCATGTAGGGATGAGAGGCTTTTTTGCCTTAACGCTTTGCCACAACATGTAACACACGGCTTTCTGCCAACCTGGGGGCCCAGGTGGCAGCAGAATATGTTGCCACCTGGGAATCAAAAATAGAGTTCTGAGATTGTGCCGGTCTTACATGGATTCTCTCTTGTTCCATCCTTTCAGCATCATTAATGATGCCACAGCTGCTTGCGATATCAACCGGAAGTAGTTGGTTAAAACTAATTTTAGTTGAAAATGACAGCGTTATTAGCTGATCCAAGGTCACTGTTGTAATGTATTTTGTGCTCATACAGCCCCTTTTGACTGATACAGGAATAGTACCCCCATTTTACAGTTCCCATGCTGAGGGGGAGCAAGGTTGTGACTCGGCCAGAGCTATACAGTTGCAGAGTGGAATAATTAACCCGGTAATTTTGACTCTCAGATCCTTGCTCTTACTATTAACTCATGGTTCCTCCTGTAGGAACAGGCAATGAGTAAAGTTAGGTTGTAACAGCTATGCAGAATACTGCACTTGAATGCGTATCGGTTATTCCCATGTTATCCCAAATGAACCAATTCAGTCCTGTAAATCTGCCCTAGAAGTGAAGTGAGAAATTATTTCAAAAAACGCTGTGTATAGGGATGGCGATTGGGAGGGTCGGAAACTTGGTGTAGGATGGATTTTTATGCAGGAGTATTGACGGTGAGAATGCAGAAAGCTCACAAATACTCTTCCTCCATGTCACTATGGAGGTCACTGGCTGCTCTCTCAAGTCACTCTTTCTGTCAAGGGTATTTTTTTTCTACTGATGGCTCAAGAATAAGCCAGCTTAAAAACTTTATCTCCATCTTCTGAGATCTTCTGGAGTGTTCCCTGTAAGCTGTGCATTTGTGCAGCCACTCAGGAGAGATTCAGAGCTGATTAGCAGAGCGCCTACAGCTAGGTTTTGTACCTACTGGTAGTGTACGTTGGCACATGCCTTGGTGCCCACAAAAATGCATGGAAAAGATTAGAGGGGAACATTGGTGCAGGATATATCATGAATGGGAATTGGAATGGGACTGTCTCTTCCAAATTCAGATTCACTGTATCATGTTGAGGGAGAAGGTGACGGGTGGTGAGAATCTGGAATTGTGATTTGGACTCTCTATCAAATGTCAGTGGAGGTTTGCATTGTAAGCATACTTAATGGGACAACCGTCAGGACAGTGATTCCCTAAAAGAATTCCTTTTTTACATGAAACATGCTCAAATACCCCATGGGATTCCATTGCTGTTCATGGCATGAATGTCTGTGGAACGTTGCTCTGTGCTACTAAATAGTGGTGGTGTTCCACAGAGAGGTGGCTCCCCTGCAGTCACGAGTGGAAGGATTTTAACTCACATGACCCTAAAAGGTGCTGTATTAATTAGGGATGTAAAATCTGTTTAAGAGTAGTGGGGCTGCTCCAGCCTGGCTGGGCCACCAGTTAACCGCTTAACTGGTGAACCGGTTAACCCTTTATATCTCTAATTTAAATGTAAAGTCACCGTCATTATTTAACACATGTGACTCTTCTGTGTCTTTGAATTATCTCTGCTGAACTGATGGCACAAGCAAGCATTTTCCTATTATCTCCCACGTTCAGATTCAAAGTACAGTGTTGAAGGAGAGGAGGATGGTGGTTAAAATCCACAGTCTTGGTTTGGATTCTATAACAAATGTCGGTGGAGGTGTACATTTCTGTGTGAGAAGGCACTGGGTAGAAGTACAGGCTATGATTATGTCCTGAATATATCTAGCTTATGGGCTCATATTGCCAGGTGCTTTCTAGGTGATGTGGAGTACTTTCAGTTCCCATCTAGTTCGCTGGAAACTCAACACCTCTCAAGAAGCCCTCAGCACGGAGCTGTTGCTGAGCCAAATGATCGAAAATGGTAGTTCTTTCTCCCTGAACTCTGTAACTTGTGAGCAAGTGGGACTCATGCATGCATGCATGCTGGGGCAGAAGTGAGTCCCCAGTCGATTTCCTTTGCTGCTGAACAAAGGAATCTCTAGGAATCTCCTTCTGTTCTCTCCTAGCTGGCTACTCCAAGATCCTGACATGCAACTGAGAACAACCTACAAGGGCTTCACAGAGGCTGTGGATGCTTATTTTGATCACTTGATGGCCAGAGTGGTCCCTCTTCAGGCAAGTAAGATGCATAACCCTCTCTTTCCAGAACCTGACTACTGCAAGCATTAGAGTGTGCTCATGCAGTGGCTTCAGGATAACCGGCAAATGTACTGTCTACGTTATAACAAGCCTAGACTGCAGCTGGCCATGGTAGCCTCACAGATCTAGTGAGTTGCTTATAAGTTGGGCCTTTGGGGGCAATCCTAGCTCACCTGTTAGTGAGTTCCATGGAGGAAAAACATGATCAGCTGGATGCAGCTCCCATTAGATTACTCTCTTCCTCTTCTGGCCCCTTGCCTTCCAGCAGCAGCAGTGCAGGTTTTCCCTGGCTTGGAAGACAGAGGCCTTTCCATCTTAACTGTTGAAGTGTGATCCCCTCTCCTGGTCACATGCATTCATTTCTTGAGCCCAGAGCCAAGTTATAATCGAGTATCATCTGGATTAGAAACCATGAACCCTGGTGATCA